TGGCATTAGCAAAAGTTCTTACAATATATCAAATATATCATTGTTGAATATTCATTTTTTAATTTGGAGGAAAGCATACAATTTTCACATTAGTTTTTTTAAGGAAGTTAAACAGAATTATTAAAACTAATTAATGAGTTTCATATGAAAAAGGGATATCTTCAGACAGAGAATGGATCTCCATCTGTAATTTATAGTTTAATATCCATTTCAATTCTGTTTTATAATTTCTTCCAGTGTTTTTCAAGATGAGTTTCTTTCCAGTAAATATTCTTTTAGGACCTGCAGCACTTTTGTTTAGTAGTGAGCTTTTCTCACTTGAAAATAGTTACTGAATTACTCCCCCATGGGAGTCTTATCCATCTGGTTCATTGTTATTCCCTTATCATTATCACATAATAGTCCTTAATATCTACTTGATAAAGAAATGGGTACGGGAAATTTAAATTTCTCACTTTATGAGTGGGTTACTTACTTTCTTTGTGCTAAGCTACAGCACAAGACCTGTGTATAGGCCTTGCTTGATTTTTCATCATTCTTTTGTTGTGCTAAGTGTGGTACATTGTGGTATTTAAAAAGATTCTTACAAAATATCAAATATATCATATTTGAATTCCTATCCCCTCATTATTCTTTCACTGTATGGTTAGGACACTAACAAAATTTGTCCAGAATTTTTCAATCTGGAAAAAAGTAATTTTAAATTTCAGCACATATGTAAGGTTATGTTTTTGTGGTTTAGGATTGTGTGTATTTTGAATTACAAATGGAGAGATCAGCCTGATGGTTTCCATACGTGTGTGTGTGTGTGTGGGTGTGTGTGAACTTACTTCTATTGTTCCTAAAGAAAGTGATGTGAAAAAACATGATACTCAATAGACCATAAACCATTTTAGGATATTTCCTAGCTCTCTGAAATTTTTTTTGGATAATCTTATTAGATGAGTCATGGCTTGATTATCTTTTGAAACTTTTGTCATATATTGTGCAATGTACACATATATATGGGATGGGTGACATTATTCCATCCTTTTGGTAAGGCATTGAATATAATTTTTGATGCTTTGCAAACATGATTGAACTTTAGATAGTGTCTCTAATCATTTTTAAAATAATTTTATAAAAGCTTTTTTAATGGAGCATGAAAAGATGGTTCTTTTTAGTACTGTTCAATATGCTTGGCTTATATACTAACAATGTTTGCTTTCCTACTCATCTTTAGATTCTGCCTAAGGAAATTGTGAAAGATTTAATTGGTTGCATTTTTGTTAGAAAGTATGGAAACATTTGTACATGGGAACTTTCATTGCATGCTAGGATGGAAATTCATTGGGGAGGGGAAACCATTTCATTTTATTGCCTAAGTGCTGTTGATATATTCCCTGCATCTTTTAAAAGCATCTTTCATGCCACACAGGCAAAATGTAGCTTGTGAAGGAGCAGAAAGAACCCTTCTCACATGTGTCAATCTCAGCCAACTTGCAGAGCAGCTGTGCTAGGTACTGATGAGGATTACCACAGGACTCAGTTGCAGAGTTTTGTGTGGTGGAAGAGACAACTGGCTCTCTCCTGGGACCACTTTGTTGGAGATTGCAGCAATAATGCATCCCCACTGTTCGTAGTGAATACTGTGGCCATATAGTACAAAATAAGTGCCAGATAAAATCAGAAAGTAATAGAAAGCAAGAAGAAAACTCAGATTTTTTTTCTCTAAATCTTAAAGTGAGAGACTAAAGCAAATATCCTGGGCTTGTAGCATTCACTTGTAAGGAAAAGAAGACAGGAGAATGGATGCTTTTAAAGCAGAAAACTTCCAGGGTATTCAGACTTTTCATTCGAGAACCATTTGGGTGTGTTGAGAAATAAGTTGCAAAGTAGGCATGTTTAGAGGTTTATTTGCTACTTTTGGTAGGAAAGATTTTTCCCCCTCTTAACTACAAGAAGCCACAGTTTTCTCTGCAAACGAAACAGGCGTTGCAAGAATCAGATTCACTTTGGACGACTCTTCACATTCCAAGTCATCATTGCATTAGGCAGCACAATTCCATCTCTGGTTGATGGGCAGAAAAAGTGGGCAGCTTGCCAGGTAGACGTTTCCATGACTCCCAGCCCCCAAAGGTGATGCGTTTTTCAGCTAATTCAATGAAGAGTGGGCTGAACTTTGGTTCTAAACGAGACAATAGCTGCCTTCGCAGTATCAGCAGAATGGTTGATGGGAATGCACTCTACATTTGGCAGAGAATCATGTGACCTTACGACTCAGATTTTGTGATGGTGCCAACGGAGACTTGGAAAGCAGCAACGGTTCTGACTTTTTTCTTCTTTTCTAGCATAGCTCAGAAAATGGTGGATCTTAATACTTGACTTTAGCCAGACTCAGCAAGCAACTGAGCTTTGAAGCACAACTTCGCCTTTATTCTGGGTTTTTGGCAGGCCACCAGGAGGCTGTCCCTTTCACGCCTGATAAATTCTGCCGCTTATCTCTAAAGAGAGAGAGAGAAGGAGAAAAAGAAAATAATAAAAGAATATTGAGGCATAACAAGTGAATCCTAAAATTGTATGTGCTTTTTGTTTTCTACCTTTTCTGACTGCTAATTTCTTTTTTAAATGTTAGTGCCGTTTCTGCTTGCTGGAGAATCCCAAGTAGTTGGGTGCTTTATTTATATTTATTTATTTATTTATTTTGGTTTAAAATGAACAGGCATTTGAACTGGGCAAACAGGACGGGAGCAGCAGTGAGCATGAGATCATAGCAGCCGTGTAGCAAACTGGCATCCTGTCTTTTCACCCTTTGGTTCAGGAGACAAACGTGTGCAATCCTCACTTCTAAGGTCAGCCTGGACGAATTCCTGGTCTCTCACCTTCTACCATTCTGCTGCCTGTGACTGCGAGGATTGGTGCAGCTTCTGCGCAGTGCTTTGTGCCTGGAATACCGAGAAGGAAGAAAAAGAAGACGAACACTCTGGTCCTTCTTTTCTAAGAAATAACAGGAGCCTTGAAGGAAAAACATAAAAACCAAAAAAAAAAAACAAAAACAAACAAACAAAAAAAACCCAAAAAACTGAGTTTGTCGTACTACATTCAAGAGTTCTGACAAAAAAAAAAAAAAAAAAAAAAAGAGGCGTTCCTGCTCAAAGCAAAAACAAAAACAAAAATACAACCCAAAACAAACCAAAAAAAGCAAACATTGGCTTGTGTAACTGCAGAGACCAGGAGCTTGGTAAAGCAGCTTTTAAAGACAACATAACCGAATGAGTCTGGTTTATTTTTATTATTTCAAAAACTATGGTCTAATTAGCAATACATTGCACTTGGTGAAATCGCACCTTTCATATCAGGTATAACTTATTTTGTTGTTTCTTTTTAAGCCTTTTCTTTTATAAAGCCGGGTCCTTCAGCTGTCAATTTACTCTTATTTATCTCATCACCCACTTTAAACTTTTTTCTTTTTGCTTTCTTGTTCTAATCTTCATTAGAATAGAAATTTAGGTAAAATTAGAAAAAAAAATCTCTGTGGAAATATGTTATTTTGTTACATATTGAAGCTTTAGAAAGACATTAATGTGTTGTCTGTGCTTTTTTTGGTGCCCAGTGTTAGTTTTTGCTAGGAAAAGTGAATATTTAAACTTCATTGGAAAAGAAAGTTAAATCTTTCCTGTGAGTCAAAATTTGAAATGTGAAGAAAGAAACTTTTTAAGTTCTGAAAAAAGAATCATACTTGAATATGCATTAAACTAATGACAAAATTAGTTTGAAGAAAGTTAAATTATTTATAAGAATTTCAATAGACTAGAAATAGGCATTAAATTGTCATATTCTCAGTTGCCAAGTAGAAAAGAAGCTTGTTCCATAATATCACTCTCTTTTAAAATACATTTTAAAAGAACTGTTTGTCCTAGAGCAATTGCAAAGAGCGTTGGAAGTATCCATTAAGTATTTTAGTGGAAAAAGTACAAACTTGTTTTAAGTTCAAAGCAACATATTGGCTCAGCAGATAAATGTATTGCAGTCTAATTGTTTTGCCTGTTTGTAGAAGTAAATTGCTAAGCAATCTGCACATTTTATAACAAAATGCAGTTTTTCCTGGTTCACTGTGAAAAGATTAGCAGATGCATCCCACTTGTCTTAATTTTCATAAAAAATGTTTCTAAACATGTAAAAATTGTTAAAAAAAAGAAAATGCTTTTAGCATAAAACATATATCAATGAAAACCATAATTTGCATGTTAAGAACTGGTACTACAGTATTTTCCATAAAATAAACTTTAGTAAACTGTGATGCTTTTAAAGTCGTATTTTGCTCTGTTAAAAATATGTAAGGTAAACAAGGAGAAGTAGTGCTATGGAACTGAGCAATGCTGCCCTCTTTTTTGTTACTCTACAAAGAATTATGGGGAATTACAAAAATCCTATATTCTGGTAACTTTTAAATAGATTATATTATCAGGCTTATTGGTTATTGTTCCCTAATTATTTAGAAAATTGCTCTTGTTCCTTGATTTTGCCTCTGCCAATGGAAAATCAACTTTCAGAGGCTTAATTAATATTGATAAACCTGTTTTCCTGTTTCAAGATCCTTTCGTTTAAAAAATCATTATTTTAAACGTCATTTTTAAGAGCCATTAATCTCTACACTCTTAATTATCTTATTAAGCTCCACGCCAAATCCAGATCTCTTTTCAGCTTTCACTACTTCATTGTGCAAAACCTGGGAGCTTCTTTAACAGCCATCTCCTTTCACTTTCAAACTGTTACTGTGAAAACAGCACCAAGCAAAATGAAGGCATAAATGCAAACTATGAAGCCACATTGCATGTCATATGAGTAACCCCGGGTGGGGCCCTACGAGTCTTCCAAGCTTTTTAAAAAAATACTTTGAAAGGTTTTTCCCATTTTGATATTGTTTTCTTCTTGATTGTCTACTTTCATTGCCACCATCCACTCAGATGCTCTTCCTAGATAGCAGTTGTCTGATATTTTTCCTTTTGTGGTTGTTTTAGGGAAAACCTTAAAATGGATCTGAGAAGTGAAGAAAGTGATCATAGGATAAAATCATCTCAGGTAAAAATGAAAAGCAAAAGAATAATTAATGTATATATTTTAAAGAAAAAACAAAATTGTTTTGACTGTGTTAATTTATAAGAATTCTTTACATATTCCTTATGTATTTAGCATTGGAATTGTCACTGATGGTTTTTATTTGAGAATTTATTATAATATTACCTGTCTTTATAAAGAATAATTTGCCTGATTTTGTCCAGTTTGCATCACTATGAATATGTATCTCTATATCCGTTCACATAACACAAGTGCAATACGTTTGAATAGAAAATCATTTAACAAAAAGTAAAGAATATATTTCTTCATTTGTTGTACCTTGTAAAAGGAAGTGAGAACTAAAGGGAGGAATAAAGTCATGTTTTTTAAGCCTTTTTTACATTATCTAGTAAGACAATAAAACCAAATCTTACATTCTTATAGTGATAAAACCTAAAGCCAATGTTTCCTTTTATTTCTCATCCAAGTGTATAATTACATATAAATACATGTTGAAATATTTTTACTATAATTGACTTCATGATCGTTGATAATTTCCTATAGTTTTTAATAAATTTGAGAACAATTTGAAAATAAATAATAGTAAAAAATTATGTAGATCAAATTACTGTATAAAGTACATAAAACAAATTGTTTTATTTCAAAAACATGCAGAATCATAAAGTAATTACTTTACAAGTATTCTTCACAACATAGACATAATTAAGAAAAGCTAAATGAGTGTATATGTGAGTGAAACAATGATTATTCAACTTACAATTTTGTTGCTGTTGTGCTCAGAATTCTAACAAAGTGTATATGTTTGGTTCGTGTTTACTTGTTGATTAGTAGTTTAAAAAAATTTTAAGAACAATTTATTTTTGCCCAAGCTGTTGACCAGATGAGAGTTGTATAAAGGCATATATTTGGTTTCAAATACAGCTGTTTTGAAAAATAAATTTAGATGTATTTTATTTAAAGATGAAAGAAATCCTCCTTGGTGCACAGAATAGCAGTAATGATATTGTTAATGTGTCATTGATTTTTGTTTTCTGATGCTAATTCATCTAATATTGTAAATTTTAGTTTCACTCCAACTATAGACAAGTGTATTATATATATGTAGGATTTGTAACTATATATTTTCTACCTTGTCAACTAGATCTTACTTGTTTTATGAGAAAGTTACAATGTTACCGATTTCTTAAAGCCAGTGACTAAGGTTTTATAAGACATAAACAAGAACTCTAATAAACAATTAACAATTAATTTGGTTTTAATTGTAGGCTCACAATACTGTATTCATGGTTCACAACTAAATAATTCATATATGCATGTATGGATCTTTTTCCTCTTTTAAAACTATTAGTTAGAACATTTTAATTCTAAAATATTCATTATTAAAACAAAAGTAATCTGTCAAAAATTTAATAAATAATTTTTAATCCTCATGTATACAACCTATGTTTAGTTTAGCATATATATGAAAGCCTGTAACTGGGAATATGCATCTTTACAATCAGCAATAAAAACATTAATACTAAAATACAGTATTACTTTTATCTCCTAATTGCAGTAGAAATTAAGAACAAATTCTCCATTAATAGGGAGCCTATGCGAGATATCGCTCACTGGCGTAAACCCGTAGATCCGATCTTGTGGTGAAGTGGACCGCACAAGCTCGCTTCTATGGGTCTGTGTCAGTGTGGTAATCTGACAAAATATATCTACCATGCTGATCAATAATACTTAAGTAAATCCCTGTTAGATTCCAGTTTATTACATTCTCTTGAAGTAATTATTTTTTCCTTTGTTTTTCATGTGTATCTTACTACTCATCTATCTAATAAGGCAGGCTTTGATTTATGTACCACTTGGAAACATAGCATAGTCATTCAGGTTTGATTCCAAGTGCAGTAACTGCTTTAAAAAGTTGAATTTGTTTGAGCTAAGGTCTGAGTAGATCCTTTTCTGAAACACTGGCACATGCTGTAGTAGTTATGGTACCTGAATAACTTCGAAGAGAAAATTAAAGGCTGTACCTGGATTTAAATGTTGCTAGTGAATGTGTTTCTCCTCAAAAATGAGCTTGAATACTACTGACTTTTACTATTATTAATTGCTAGTGGAAGTATAGCAAGAAAGATATCAGAAGACATTTTATGTAACCTATACTAAAAACCCAAGACAGTAGGATAGTCCTGTGAGACACATTTTCAGCTTATAGTAAATGCTGGAATATTATATCTACAATCTTGCCAAGTCCTTAGGTGTCTGGCTACCATATTTGGAGGAGCTGACTGAAGATATGATAAGGAGTTTGAAGCGACATTGGAAGCTGTGTGCATCCGGGTTGAGGTAGTAGGTTGTATGGTTTAGAGTTACACCCTGGGAGTTAACTGTACAACCTTCTAGCTTTCCTTGGAGCACACTTGAGCCATCGAGGAATTCTTCATCACTTTAATCTGACAAAGCCAATTTCTGTGTAAGAAAGGAATGTGTCATAAGCATTTTAGACAGTTTGAGCCTTTGCTACATTTAAATGATCATTTCAACCTAATTACTATATTACTGTATTTGCACCTACAACAGTGGCAAAATAGTATTTCAAATGGGTTATTACTCTCGTGTTCAGCATTTCAAAGAACTGGTGGGCAGTGACTTACCACATTAATATTGAAGCTTTTTATCATTTATAGATTTACAAAATTGACATTTAAGTTTCAAACTGATAGTTGACCTATTTTTATTGCTACTTAGACACTACAGAAAGAAAATGTGTAAATAACTTCCTTTGCACTTTATCAGAGTTTTTCTTATGACACATCACTTTCTACCTTATGTAATGGTTATTTATGTGCTTATTTACATTTTCCATACTAGACTGTAAGCCCCTTGAGGGCAAAGTCCATGTCTTCTTTTTCATTGTATTCCCCACAATGTTTACACATCATAAGTAGTAAATATTTAGTGAATGAATGAATGGCGTACAGGATCTCACCATTTATGAGTTTCTATTGAATACTAACATTAATTACCACCCAGTAGTCAACTTTTGAGTTTTGTTTTTTGATCCTAAAATTGCATAAGTTTAATTCCCATATTGCTCTGAGTCAATAATGCATATGACTTGATTTTTGATTGTGCTGAGTGTGTTGACTACTTTAGACACACCATATAAAATTTGGTAGTACTTTTCTAAGGAATAAAAACACAATATATTTATTCTTACTGATTAATTCATTACAATTTAAAACCTTAAGTTTAGATATTGTATGTTTCAGCTGAACTTTTAAATACCTTTACTTCTAGATGACTTGTTTTTTATTTCATTTCATTTAATAATATGATTTTTAAAAATGAGATTTTTGTATTTTGTAAATGTCCCTTATTTTCTACCTTTTATTTTTGAATAACTCTATCTGTAGATAATTAAGCCAGAAACAAGTCAAGAAATTAGTATTAAATAAGTATGTAAAATATAATTTGAAAATTAAAAAAAAATTTGCTTAAATGAAATGCACCTTGCAATATTCATGTTTTATTAAAAATGGGTCTTTTTAGAATCTGTCATTTTCTGTCTACTTCAGTAGCATTTAGTCATATAATTTGTATAGTTATGTTATCATAAATCATGGCATACAGGAGCATAAATTATATAAATATATGCATATATAATATAAATATTAAGAACCATAGGGTCTTAGTTAAGTGTTGATGAGCTTTCTATAGTACTCAGGAGTCCAAAATATCTCATTTTCTAAAACTTGCTAACAATGGTAATAACAAGGAACTTCTGACCTCCTAATATGTGACAGCATTCAGCTTTAAAAAGCTGAATTAGAAGTTATTTCAAGAAAAATTATTTGACTAGTGTGCAGAAGTAAAGACCATTAGTGCCATGCCTATAAAAGAAAAATCTTTACAAGGAGTAATCACAAAAACATAAATAAGAGATAGGAAACATAGACCTCTCCCTAAAAAAGAAGACATGAAGAAAAGAAAATCTAATATTATTCATGGCATATAGAATTGGCATTGTGTCTTAGAGTGTCAGTTCATCCCAAAGTTGGGAGACATAGACAACTATATCTTTGTAACAGTTTAGTCTTTGAGAGACCAAAAGCCCTTTCTTATATGTTTATAGGTAAGTGTATTTGTGTAGCCCTCCACTGGGTACATGGATATGGATCAATCAGATAAAATACTATTGTCTATAAATGTCTGTTTCCATGCAGTGCATAGAGGTTAGTGCATTCAAAGTCAACTATGAGTTGCAGCTTAATGGTAGCCTTATGAGATACTATGACAAAAGTCATAGAACTGTGGTGTCTTCCATATACTTTCTAAAGTGAATTAGAATTGTAAAATATAGGAGAAGATTAATTAAGGTGTATTTATGATTCATTATGTTTAGTAATGCTTAAAATTATGAGAATTCTGAACAGCAGAAGTCATAGTACCACTGAAGAAAAAAATATAAATTTCTCTGTAGGATGAGGACACTACATGAGAGAATTATGCTTTTGCCTTTGAATTATAAGAAATTTTGTGGAGCCAGCCACAAATAGCCAAATAGCCAAAGGGGCTATTTAACTTACTATATGTTTCTGAATAAACAGCAAATGACAAATAATCAAGTTGGTAGGATTTCTAATAAAATAAATCAAAATCTAGGATTGCTGCTTATATCAATTAGAAATACTGAAAGGCCATGCATGGTGGGGCATATCTGTAATGCCAGCTACTTGGGAGGCTGAGATTAGGAGGATCATGGTTCAAGGCCAGACTAGGCAAATAGTTTGTTACATGCCATTTCCAAAAAATAACCAGAACAAAATGGACTGGAGGTGTGGTTCAAGTAATAAGAGAGCCTGCTTTGCAAGCGCAAAGCCCTGAGTCCAAACTCCAATTCCACCAAAAAGAAAAGAAATGAAAAGAAAAATGAAGAGCAAAAAGACTAGAGTATACCTCAAGTGGTAGAGCTCTTGCCTAACTAGCACAAGGTTCTAAGTTCAAACCCCAGTACTGAAAAAAAA